GCATTCTAAATTTTACTCTTGTTAGACACAAACAATAAGTACTGCATGCTCATTGTAACATCAAAACTTAACCATCATTTGGCCCATAATTGTAACTAGAATCCCCCCAATAAATCCTTGTTAAAAACTCAAAACTCTCTCTCTCTCTCTCTCTCTCTTGCTCGCGTTCTCTCTGTCTCCGTTTCAACCCACTCGAATACATAACTCTGCCTGCTCCTTTTCCACCCGCGCCGGGGGGTGTTACGCCAAGTGCACGGCTCAGCCAGAGGGAGTCAGCAGGGGTGGTGGAGCGCGGCGGGGCGGTGCGTCGTGAGGCTGATTTACAGAGGCCGCTGCAGACAAAGCTATGAGGCTGAAGCTGCGACTAGCGCGGCATTCCTCTAGCGAGTGGGTCGCTCTCTGTAGGTCCGGACCAGGGGGGGGCATCAGGTACATCAACACCGTAAATAGTTCCGTCAGCTCAGATCGAGAAGCGCCGCCAGCACAGCAAAGTAGAAGGTCATTTCAACGAGATTAGACTCTCCTGGTGCCGGGTGGGGCGCGCGGCGGCGAGATCCTGACTCAGCCCCTGAAGTTTGGGGTGCCTGGCCTGCGCTCGCTGCGCCGGCACTCTGGTGTCCACTCCTTTTGTTTGTACTCTGCAGTCGGCGATGGCTCCCTTTGCATCGCGATGAGGCTCCTGCGTCCCGAGCGCCCCCGTCCCCCGTGACCCTTTATACACCGCACTGTGTCCATAACAATGCCAGAGAATAGCGCTAGTCTAAACGCTCTATAACAGTATTTCTCGGTCTCTGTTTCTCATAGGTGCAAGACGGCCGAGGTGCAGACGCCCGTCGAGGGTCCGGAAGAATGATGCCGTGACCCAAGCCACCAACAGCAGTGAGTATGACTTCTGGTCTCCCTCTCGCTCGCTCCCTCTCGCTCCCTCTCGCCCCCTCTCTCCCTCTTCCTTTCGCTGTCTCGACAAACTGATTTTCTTTCCCCCGAGCTGTGCGGCCACCGCAGCGTTTACCCAGCCGTCTGGTCGCGCCGCCCCCGCCCGAGGGACGCTTGCAGCGCTTGCATGAACCCGGCGCGCCCGGCGCCCACCGCGGGGGGAGGGAGCGCTTCCGTATACACAGATGATTCAAATGCAACGCAAAAGTTGAAACGCGTTTGCCGCCTTGGCCAATTCCAGGAGAAATGGTCAAAAATGTCCGTCCGCCACGCGATTTGTGAGCGACTGACAGGCGCCACGTTGTTTTACAACACGTGTCCTAACTCCCCATCTCGAGACGCGTCCAGACATGTTTTGTAGCGTTCCCTGGCTTTTTCAAATAAAATCTATTAAAGCCTCTCTTTGAGGGTTCGTGCGGACTGATTTTCGTTTCCATTTGTTTTAATAGTCTTCCCGTCATGTCTTTCCCCAGGTCGACGCCCAGACTCAGGCCCACCGATGCCGTACGCTCGCCCGCCCACCCTGGTGGGTCCCGTCCTGGCGCTGGCCTCCGTCGTGCTCCTCCTGGTCCTGGGGCCCGCCTTGGGGCCCTCTCCGGTCCTGGCCGAGCGATGCCTCACAGACTACCCGGGTAAGAGTCCGCCTCGAGGTGCAAGACGTACTTCTTAAGAAGGTGCACATATGCTTATTTTAAACGCAGTACGGCTATGTGCAACCTGCGGTATGAAAACCTCACCACCACTTGAGGTCCGGTGTTAAGGTAAGGGATCGTCCAGAAAGCACGCTAGTCATTCGCCGTTCGCGAACCTCAGAAGACAAGTGCAGCATCACCAGGCACGCTCTCTGGAGCGCCTGGCAGGTAGGCAACACCTTGCCTGCAGTGCGTGCGTGTTGTGCGGGGTGGCCTACCCCGAGTCTCGCAGGCGCCCTGCACCCGTAATTTACGTACTTTCTGAACGATCCCTAATCAGAGCCTCTTTTGGGTGAACACGTTAACCCATCAGGAAAACATACGGGGATGCATTTGTCCCGGCCCCCGCCAAGCACTTTTTCTTACAACCTTTGGTTCAAAGTGGAAGTGCCATATGAAAAAGTGCTTGCCTCATCCCTCCACATGTAAAATGAAACGTAGGTTGTGTTACGGTCCTTACACTTCATTTCCGAATGTTTTGCAGAGGAGAACCCTCCGCGCTTCCTGCTGGTGGGCGGCGAGCCGACCGACCTGCGCCTGGAGACGTCGCGCCGTCGCCTCACGCACCGCCTCATCACGCACGTGTTCCGCACCTTCCTGCTGGAGGTGCTGGGCTACGACGCCGTCAAGGTCGTCTACGTGGAGGACAGCGGCTTCAACACGACCCGGGTGGTGAACCGCATCGGCGGCGCGGACCTCGGCGAGGATGCGCGGTGCGTGTCTGACCCTCGTGCTCTTCGTTTACTGAGGGCAGCGCGAGGGGTGTCACTTTAGAGTCAAGCGTGCATCCATTTGCTTCCCTTGAATTTCCTTGATTTTTTTCTGATTTTTTAAAAACGATTTCTATTTTATTCTTGTCTATTTTTTCTGACTTTTATTGGGGGGTGTACATTAATTTTTCAAAAAGTGAAGGACCTCACGGGGCAGTGCCGTTCAGCAGGGATGATGATTGCTGATGACTGTTTCCTTTCGGACGTAGGTCGCCGCGCAGCATGGTCAACTTGGAAGTTTGGACGGGCCCGGACGACAGCCTTGCCCAGTGGTGGTCAGAGCACTCGATGAACGTCCTTGAGGCTGGCCCTGTCACCAACCCAGGGAGATTTGCTTGGTTTGTCCCGCGAGATGGTCGCGGTGAGCTCAGTGATCTCACCTGGAAATCGTTTAACAGCCCTGGCACTGCTGAGAGATTTTCCCTCAGTTCACACGACTTTGATTTCTTTAACATTGACAAGGTCTTGAGAGACGACAAAGGATTTTACTGCACGGAAGAATTCTGTGAAAATGGACGGTACACGCCGAGCCGTTGCAAGCTGAGTCAAAACTGTGCAACTCTCTTTACAAGCTATTCTGGTAAGTTTGTATGATTACGGAAATTTATTGTGTTCTTCTCCATTTGAATTTTCTCATTTTTGTGAATTTACTGTTTTTTTCTAGACATGACAGGTTTTGTTAAACATCATATTGAGGAACTGCAACTATTTGTTGAAGTAATCTGGGTCGGGCCACATCTTGGGAACCTAACAACTGAAATTGCTAAGAGATACAAATTTAAAGGAGTAGACAAGGAAATTGTGCTTCTTGGCTGGTCTCCATCTGAGTTGACGATTCCTGGTGATATGCTGTACTCAATTGTTACCTTTCCACCTTGTGAAGAGATGATGTCTTCAAAAATAGTTGGGTGCAAGTATGATTTGCAGCGCCTTTTGAAGTTAGCATGGAACAAACTAAAAGAAGCTGCTCCTCCAGCTTATGAGGTTTGCCTTTCAACTGATATATTTTGTTTTCTGAGTATTGTACTTTTATGTCCACTGTCTCATTCTTTACAAAAAAAATGCCCTTTTCTTTTCCAGTCTATTCGCAAGGTGCAATTTGACCATGCTGATTACCATAATCTTGTACAACGAAGTCAGGAAGCCGGATCTCTTAGTGATGAAAAAGTTGCTTGTGAGTGGCTTCGAGAGAATAAGGAAAAATGGAAAGACTGGGTCTGGAGTAATGACAACAAAGATGTCTTATATATTGGAGGAATTTTTCCTTTAAGTGGCCATATCTACTCAGCAAGAGGAATTGTTATAGGTAATATCACTATCTTCACTTCACTTTTTTTTTAAAAGCAAAAAGTGAGCTTACATCACTAAATTCTTTTCTGATGAAATATTTTTTTTTTTTTTACTTTTATTGCAGCTGCTCGAATGGCAAGGGAAGCCATCAATAACAATAAAGATATACTACGAGACTACAAACTGAGACTTCTTGTGGCAGATGGCCAATGCCGTGCAGATGTAGTTATGAAAACATTTATTGACTATATATACCTTGACATGTACCCAAAACTTGTTGGAGTTTTAGGTAGGATTCTTGGTCTATTTGCTCTCTTTGTGTAACAAAAAAAATGTTTTCCATACTATCAATTTCTTGCCTTGCAGGCCCTGCATGCTCCGATTCAGTTGAACCTCTGGCTGGAGTATCCAAGCTGTATCGAACAGTTGTTATTAGCTATAGTGCTGAAGGATCAAGTTTCTCAGACCGTAGTAAATATCCATATTTCTATCGTACAATTGGTGAAAACAACCAATACAAGTAGGTTGTCCCAAAATAAATTATTTGATCATTTTATATATTTTTAAGGGAAATATGTCTAAAGTTTGTCACAAATGTAATACATAACTCTCATTTTATTACTTTAGAAATGTATACCTACAACTATTTCAACAAATAGGCTGGACACAAGTTGCATCTCTGACTGAAGATGGTCAAAGATATACAGAGTACTTGTCACATTTACAAGACCTAATGCAAACACATGGTATTCAGTATATTGCAAATAGAAAATTCCCTCGTAATCGTGACAGCACAGCCATGCCCAAGGTACCACTTATACATATTTTTAATTTAAAAATCTAATCTTTATGTATACCTTTAGATTATGGGATTTTCCTTTTCAATTATGATTTTTATTTAACGTGTGGCACAATTTTTTATTAGTATTTAAAGGAGCTAAAGAGTAAAAATGCACGAATTCTTATTGGTGATGTAAATGATGATGCTGCTCGATCACTCATGTGTGCTGCTTACCACCTTGATATGACATCCAAGCATGGATATGTATGGTTTCTACCATTGTGGCTGTCCCCTCATTGGTATGACATCAGTTCTTTCAATAACAGCAGTGAACTTGTAAATTGCAGTACTGGACAAATGATTGAAGTAAGTGAAAGAGACTAGGCAAGCTTCTTAGTTTATGAAATATGGAAATAAATTTAAAACTTATGTTATGATTTCTCTCAAAATTAAATAGGCAATTAATGGACATTTAGCTTTAACGCACACATACTATGCAGATGATAATGAAACAATGCAAGAAAAAATGTCTGTTGGACAGTGGAAAGAGAAGTACAAGGAAGAGTGTGAACGTAATAAAATAGAGACTCACAACTATGCAGGCTTTGCATATGATGCTGTGTGGACTTATGCTTTTGCTCTTGACGCCCTCATGAAAGAGAATCAATCTCATCTTGTCACTTTGCACAACGAGACAACTGTGAAGTAGGAGAATGAATTGTTTGATCTTCTCATACCTTGCAATTTTTGGACTACTTCAATAATAATTGTGTTTCTTCTCAGGCGATACGTTGAAATAATTAGTGCAACCGATTTTAATGGAGTGTCAGGAAGAATTAATTTTAAAAGTGGCCCTTCGAGATCATCAGTGCTCCAAGTTGTTCAGTGGCTTAACAATAAAACTTATACTGTTGGGACCTATTTCCCAAATACATCTGTAGCTGAAGGTGGCGGACGGCTTGAACTAAATAAATCAGCAATCGTTTGGTTGACACCTGATGGCTCTGTTCCGTTGGATGGAAAAGAAACATTACCACAATGTGTGCTTGCCGGTTTTGCAAATGCACTCAATGTAAATTGTGAGGTGGCAATTGCAATTGCAAACGTAGCTGGCTTTGGTCTTCTGGGAACCCTTTTAATTGTTGCATTCATCATTATGAAGAGACGGTAAGCATATTATATTTTATAAATTTTCATAGCATGCACCTATAAAATGTTCAATTTCCTTATGCATTTTATTTATCTTTGCCTTTTTTGCAGTTACGATCAAAAGGTGCAAATTACTCAGAAGTACATGAGATCTCTTGGAATTGATCTGCTCTCCCCCTCTAACATAGCATGTTTAGATAAATGGGAAATACCCCGTGAGTTTGTGGTAGTAAATAGAAAATTGGGTGAGGGTGCTTTTGGAACAGTATATGGAGGTGAAACAAAAATTGATGACAAGGGATGGGTAGGTGTAGATTAATTAAATTTGTTTCCCTAGAATTTTGTAAGTAAATGAACATAATGACACATACCTCTTTAGATTGCAGTGGCTGTCAAGACTTTGAAAATTGGCTCTACAATGGAGGAAAAACTAGACTTCCTAAGTGAAGCTGAAGTTATGAAACGACTTGATCATAAGAATGTGGTGAAGTTGATTGGAGTTTGTACCAAGATTGAGCCAGTCTATACTGTCATGGAGTTCATGTTGTATGGTAATTTAATTTCCATAATGAATATTTATCAATCTATGTTTATAGACAATCTTAATGGTTCCCTATTTTTATGCTTACTTAGGTGATCTGAAAACTTACCTTTTGGCACGTCGTCATTTAGTGTATGAGAAGGTATCAGAGGAATCTGATGAAGTGTCCAACAAAAGATTGACATCAATGGCTCTAGATGTTGCTCGCGCTCTGAGCTACTTGGCTGAATTGAAATATGTTCATCGGTTAGTGTCTAGAGTAAAATTTTTCTCTTCAGAAATTATTTTGAGTTTATTTGTAACATATCAAATTATTTCAGAGATGTGGCATCAAGGAACTGTCTGGTAAATGTATCAAGAGTAGTTAAGTTGGGAGATTTTGGTATGACAAGACCAATGTTTGAAAATGACTACTACAAATTTAATAGAAAAGGTGGAGAACATAAAACAAAAAAGTATTTCTTTTACAGTAGTTTAAAAGTTTTGTAATAACTGTTAAATTTATTAAAAATGTCCTTTAGGAATGCTGCCTGTACGATGGATGTCTCCTGAAAGTTTAGCATTAGGAGTGTTCACCCCTGCCTCAGACGTCTGGGCTTATGGTGTTCTTCTTTATGAAACAATTACATTTGGAAGCTTTCCATTCCAAGGTCTCAGTAACATCCAAGTATTAGAATCAGTGAAGGCTGGAAACACAATTACCATTCCATCTGGAGTGAAACCACAATTGTAAGTAAAAGACAAAGAGTAAACAGGACATTTATATTTACTAAAATCTACACAATATCAATTTTATGCTTCTTAAAATTTGCTGACATATTTCTTGGTTACAGAGAAAGTTTAATTAAATCTTGCTGGAATGCTGACTACAAAAAGCGACCTCATGCATCCGAAATAGTTGAATTTTTAGCCAACAACCCACGGTTGTTATCTCCTTGTTTAGATGTTCCGTTGTCCTCTGTTCAAATTGAAGATACAGGAGAACTTGAAATATCCCTCCCAGAGCGTCGTCGAAAGTGTTCTGTGTCACTTAACTTTTTAAACAGAAATGTGGGTCGATCTCAGTCAGTTAATGCTGACCCTGTGTTGGCTCAGGTAAAAATAATTGCATGGTCTTGGTCAAAGCTTATCAAAACAAGTTAGTTCTTTATTTAATTTTGATCTTTTGGTTGTTATTAGCAGGAGACTACACGAACCACATTACTGGATTCAAGTGTTTGTCCAACAGAACCTCTCCTAGGAACGCCTAGATCATCAACTGCTGGCATGGGGCTGAGTAAATACGTTACTTTACAACATTCCCCATCAAGAGCATCTCCAGAGCATCATGATGAATACAGTAGCCATGATACAGAAGTGGTATCAATTCTCTGACGATGTGATGAGGTGGGTTCACCGCCTCAGTCACATATTCATGGTTGCTGGTCAGTTAAGGCTGCGATTCCCTCCTGCCTACCTTCTAGTACAACTGCACCCATTTGTATGGGTGAAAGTGATCCGGATTGTGAGACATCTCCCTTATAAAATAGCTAGCCATTTTTGCTCAATGTGTAGTTTTAGAGGCCAGCCAAATAATGGCCTTTTCTTTTTTTCATTGGAGAAAAAGTATAGTACAGCCTTTTACAAGATCTCTATTCCCTGTATTTTTCCAGTACAGCATAAAGTTTAATAATAACATAAATGATTGCTAAACATGTATGAGACATGTGAGGTAAAGATATTGTCTTTCAATTTGAGATATTACACTTTTGTTTTGCTGGTTTTATTTTGACCCATTTGAAGTTCTTGCTGACGTTGATGTTGCTTTCTTCTTCCATAGGGCCAGCTCATGTGAAATCTTAAGTAGCCCATCTTATTACAGAAATCAATAAAAAAACAGGAATTATTTTTTTACCCGCAACTTGGAAGGTTTAGAAACAAGCTCAAATATGTGTACATGCCACATGCATATGTCTTCAAAATGTACACCAAAGTCATTTATTTAAGACTGATGAACTCTCTGTAGCTTAGTTATGAAGATGCCAAAACAATGATTCAATTTAAGCAAAAGCTTATTGGAAAGTGTGTTGCTTTTGTAGTAGGTTGTATATACCATTACAAGACTGTATTAAAATTGTGAGTGCTTATCTCATAAACTGATCGTAGGAGAATTAAAATGTTTTCTTGATTAATCATGGTGCCACTCTACAATGAGAAATGCATCTTTCATAACGGAGGCATAAATTTTGAAGTATCATATAAATTATTTATTATTACATGACACCACCATCTATCATTGATCATGATCACACTCTGTGAAGCAATCGAATCTTTACCTCAATTATTTTAATTACATTGTACCATTTGCCTGTCTTTCGCTCATTTTATTGTTGCTGTTCCTTTTAAATCATTGTATTTAGTATGTCCAGTCATTTTAATTCTAAGCACATATTGTTGAAATAGTTGATCATTCCGATTTGAGTGGTTCATATCAGTTCAGATCCAGTACACAGCTGTATGTCATTCTTTCTATAAGATGTAAGTCTGTCTCTTTAGCAAAATGGCCCCTGTGCCCCACTGTGCGATCTACTGCTTGTTTACTGCTAGTCTAGTATACTGATACACCATTAACCACTTTTAACTAGTTATTTAAATTTATCTATTTGAGAGTCTCAAAGAGTGAAATAATTTTGTTAGCCTTGCTAAGTAGCTCAAGCTCAAAATGTAGGAGTTACTTTCCAGGGAAAAACCTTTATTAGCTCTTACTTTTGAACCTAGAATGTTTTCATAATTTCTTGGTGAAATTGCCGTTGCACTTGACCTTTTTGATCTGGATATTTTAAGAAAGATGCAAAGTATAATTTCTTGAAACTTAAGACATTGTATTTCCTTCTGTGATATTTAGTATAGAATTTTCCCTCTTAGAAAATTAGCTTATGTAGTACAACTGTGTGGCCCTGGAAATTGGTGGTTTTTGTAATAACCACCTGATTTTTACTTTTTTTAATTTTTGCGAGGATTACCTCATAGTTGGTTATGGCTTTCTAAGCAAAGCATCTTACTACGGTAATCAAAGAAAACATGTACAGTACGTAGTTTACCTATTTTAGTATGTGTATGATTTTAACACCTTCAATGATTGTACTGATGTAAATCATAGGGTTTACATACCAACAATAATATTCTCCCTGTGTTTGTCATGAACGGAACCCAACTGCTTGTTGCCCTTTACTTAATTCTTAATAATTCAAATGAGTGAAAACCCTTCAAAAGTAGTTGTGGTTAGCATTTTATGCAACATCACATACTACTGAAAAAGCAAACCTGCACTTTATTGCAGCATTTAAACAAATCTTAATGTGTTGCATTGTTCTTAAGTTCTCATTCAACCTAAAGAAAATCAAATCTGATATGGCTGGTGTAATTTTCCTTTGGTACTAGTTTTTAAAGTCTTCAGCAGCTCAATAAAAACATGTGTCTGCAGAAACTCTGTAATCTTTCTATCACCAACTTTATTTTTGTGATTGAATGCAAATGTTATTTTTACATCTTATACCTTACTTCTTTTCTTTGTAATAACTATTATATATGTTTTAAAAGTCCTAGTTTGGCCATCTTAAACAAAAATTATTTTAAAACTTTATATTTCCTACTAATTAAGTGTAAAATTACGGAGTCATTCAAGTTGTGAGTATTACACCCCCAGGAGGTGACTGTTAAACCAATGAAGTTATTCCAAAAATCATCACTAATGCCCTTTCCATATGTACCTGACTGTATTATGTGTGTATTTTGATTTAACTTTACATCATATTGATACTTAATTTCCATGTAAATTACTGATTGCAGTTCAATAGTATTTGCTGTATGTAAGAAAATACATATTATACCTAAATTTCAGTGTCTTGCTTTTTGTTGATTTTCTAAATATTGCTCTTTCTTTTTATTCCCCCTTTAGTACTTAGCATATGACTCACCCTTTTCGTCAATCACCAGGTAGTTAATTTGCCAACTTCCTAAGTTCGACACAAAAAGCACTCATGCCATTCGGCTGCTTACTCACTCGAGTGGTAAGAGGGTCTGGTCAAATCCGTTTGCACGCGTGCGTGAGGTAGGTGCTGTACAGTATAACTAAGAATGTGAACGGGGCAATTCAGCGACCTAGTACAAATGAAAACCTTCACAGGCAACATAGGAAAAGAAGTTTCTTGGAATTTGGTACAAATTTTTTTATTAGCAAATTGTATGACACATTCAATAACTTATTGGGACTTGGGTGACTGAGATCTTGCTACAATGAGCAAAATAGAAAACAAATATGAAATATTTTTGATGATTGAATCAACACATGCCACAGATTATAACTTTGGAAGGAATGTATGTATCTTTCCAATATAAAAAACAAAAAAATTAGTCCAAAGGAGGGTCGTAGTAGGGTGATAGAGCCCTCCCTCTATGATTGAATGTATAAAATGAGGGGCAATTTCGGAAGGTCTCCCATGTTTTAGATTCAAGATCAACTGTTGATCGAATTTCCTTAAACTCTCCAGCCAATGTCAAAATGCCATACATAGTCACAAAAAGACTGACAATGCCTTGAATCAATATCTGAAAAAAGGATACCCTTCATAATAACAAAAATAATTGGACTGATTTTGTTAGATTAACATTAATTAACTCACATCAATGGGAAGTCCAACAAATTCTTGTTCTGTTATCCGAAGGTAGGCTCGATCTGAAAAGTTCGTACCAGTGATAAATTTCTGATGGTAGAAGCTGAGGAAAGCGATCTTCTAATTATTACAAATACAGAATTCATTTGACAGCTAAATAAGTGTCCATTCCATCCATTCTAGCAGAACGTAAACCCCAGGTTAGGTTAGAATGTAACGGATGACTGGTAGATATAAGGCTGACACGGCTGAATTACCCACTCTTTACTTTTTGCTTATACAAAAACTTAAGAAAAACTTAAACTTACGTTGAGCTGCCGAATAAGCGGCATGCAGTAATGATGAAATCCCTAAAATAAATATAAGTTTATGAGCGGCAGTGGCTGCCATGTTTGATGATTTCGGTGCCTTGCGTGCGGGTTGCGGAGTTTCTGCTTGAACGAGAAAGGGCGAGCGAGAAAGGGAAGGGAACGGATCTCTCCCCTCTCACATGACATGATCACAAACTATTCCGCCCCAAATCAAGGGTATTTTATGTATTAATCGTTAGTTGTGGTTTAAAATTGGTCTGTTATTCCCTGCAACGGCGGCCCACAAATTGGCAACTCTTTTGGCAGAGGCAGGTATGGATTCTAATTTTCTTTCATTCCACCCCAT